TTATAAATTAAGGGACATTCTACAGAATAGATGTTCTATAATCTTCAACAACATGGACATCATAAAAGATAAAGGCTGAGGAACTGCCCCAGGTTAAAGAAGACTAAGCTAATATAACAACTAAATTAAAAAGTCATGTGGGAGCTAGAGAGATAGCTCAGTGGTTAAGAGCACTGGCTGGTCTTGCAGAGGACCCAGGTTCAGCTCCCAACACTCACAAGGCAGCTAACAACCATTTGTAACTCCAGTTCCAGGGAACCCAACACCCCCTTCTGATTTCTCCAGGAGTTATACAACATGGGTGCACTTACATACATGCAGGCAATACACTCATACACATAAAATAAAAATAATAAAATATTTTAAAAACAGTCATAAAAGGTTCATTGTTAGGACAACTTGTGGAATTCATATATAAACAATTATAGCATTCTATCCATGTTGCTTCCTAAATTCCATCATTCTTCTGTGGGTGAACAAGGGCTGACCTTACTCTTACGCTATTCATGAGGTATTTAGGAATAAAAAATTAATGATAATATCAATAACAGTAATGATCTGTAAATTTTACAGAGGATCATAAAGCATGTGTGGTAATATATAGAAGGGCATAATGGAGTTCACAATTTTATTCTTGAAACTTCTATAAAGTTTGAAATTTATTTAGAAATCAAAGGTTCTAAAAATAAAAGAAGTATTGAAGCAATTTTAAAGGTATTTATTGCATCCTTGGAGAGTTATGTAGATATGCATAAATATGTACACATACTTTTCAGCAGAAGATTTCAGTTCTCATAATAAGAAACAAGATTTCTAAGATGAGAATTCAAAGACTATGCCTGTTAGGCAAGGGATATGTTCCCTTTGCTATACAAATACCATACAAATATTTCCATGGCCTTTTTCCTGTCACTTCCTGACTTATGTAGCCCAGGATGTCCTGGAACTTGGTATATAGCCCAAGCTTGAACTCTACAGTAATCTCGTCTTCACTTTTCAAGTGCTGGGATTACAAACATGAGCCACAATGCCTGGCAATGGAAATGTCTTAACAGATAATGTGACAAATCTTTCCTATTATTCTGTTTTTAGAGCTTTAACATTTTCTTTACAAAAGAAATGAGAGAAAAGTTAAATGTGGAAGAAAAATAAATAAATCTATGAATAAGTACTCCCCCCCTCAAATTAAACACAACAATAAAAATGTTCCTATTCACTAGGACCATGACAAATGCAAATTAAAATAATAAGATGGTATATTTTATCCACCGTATATGCAGTACTGATGGATATATGCTAATAGAGATTATCATACTGCTGATAGAAGTGTAGATTCATATAGCCACACTGGAAATCAATATGGCAGTGTCAGATGAAATTACAGTTAAAATACGCCAGCAATTCCAGTTCTAGGTATATGCCACAGAAAACCCCTTACAGTGCACATGCATGAGGAATCTGTAAGGATGTTCACTACAATTATGTTTGTAACTGGGAAAAATTAGAAATAGTACAAAATATCCACTGTCAGTAGAATGAGCAAGTGATAACTATATGTGATAAAAGCTATGTAGGAATCAAAAGACTGGGTAAGGGTTTTATATATATACCACAGACAGATCTAAAAGGCTATGAATGAAGGAATCAAAGAATGAGATTTTACTTATATAAATTTACATAAATTATAACACAAACAAATGCCATATATTGCTCATGGTTACCTCACTCTATATAATGCAGATGTATCTATAGATGGCTGTATTTATTAACTGATAAATATTAATACATAAGAAATTACTTATTTAGGGGCTGTGGAGAGATGTTCAGTGGTTAAGCACATTTGCTGCTCTTGCAGAGGACCTGGGTTCAGTTCCCAGCACCCACACAGAGGGTCAACAATGCTTGCAACTCCAGTTCCAGGGGGAGCCAATACCCTCTTTTGGCTTCTGCAGGCACTGCATATAGGCTAAACACATACACATAAAAATAATAAAAACTTTGAAAATTTAAACATTTCAATACACAAGAAACATTTATTTATTTATTTTTTGTCTTTTTGAGATAGGGTCTCCCTGTAGCCCCAGCTGGCCTGGAACTCACTATGTAGACCAGGCTGGCCTCAAACTCACAGAGATCCACCTGCCTCTGCCTCCCAAGTGCTGGGATTAAAGGCATGCACCACCACGCCCGGCTTATTATTATTATTATTATTTTATAAATATGAGTGCATTGCCAGCATGTATGTAAGTGCACCTTTGTCTTACAATGCCTGCAGAGGCCAGAAGAGGGCATTGGATACTCTAGAACTGGATTTACAGATGGTTGTTAGCTGCCATGTGGGTGCTGGGAATGGAACCCAGATTCTCTCCAAGAGCAGCCAGTGTTTTTAAATACTGAGTCATCTCTCCAGCCCCATTGAAATACTTTTTTTTTGGTTTGGTTTGGTTTTTTTAGTCTTTTTGAGACAGAGTCCCCAAAAAAGCCCCAGCTGGCCTAGAACTCACTATGTAGACCAGGCTGGCCATGAACTCACAGAGATCCACCTGCCTTTGCCTCCTGAGTGCTGTGATTAAAGGCAGCACCACAACACCCAGCTTACAAATACTTCTTAAAAAAGAAATATATATGGACATTTTTAGGGTAAAATATTTGAATATCAAGATTGTAGTTACATTTGGGGGTATGTTGGAATAGTGACAGATACTTTATCTCCTATTTCATTATTTTTATTGAAAAAGAAATTAGCCAGACATAGTGGCATACATCTGTAATGCCAGAACTAGAAAGGTGAGAAAGGATGGTCATGAGTTTAAAGCTAGACTAGGCTGTACAGCAAAACCCTACCTCAAAAAAAAAAACAAAAACAAAAAAATCTAAAAGGGATGAGAGGATAAAATAAAATTTTAAAAAAAAACTTGGGGCAAAGATAAATATGTCAATCCATGTCAATTCTGGGCATATGCTGTATCTTTTTTAACCTGCCAAGATGTATATGAGCTGTAAGACAAGGGTGTTTAGAGCCCACAATTCAGAAAGAAGTATTAAATTTCAAACTTGAAGGTGTGATGAAACACCTCTCTGAGTTGATTCAATGTTCCATAGCAGTCTTCTGACAAGGTTATCCAAATAATAATTTATTAAGGAACTAATATTCTATGAGACCATGACTCTTAAAACTTGGACAGGTTACCTGGCTGAGAATATTCCAGGATACATGCAAGAGTGCTACGGATCAGAGCTGTCCACTGTTTCTGAGTTTCCTCAGTTTTGGCCATTGAAAGTGTTACAATACTTTTAATCCCTTGAAGAGCTGCGCTGACTGGTGGAGGAACCTGATTATCTGAAGATTTTACTGCTGTGTCTTTCAGTATTCTTGCAATTAAGAACAGAATTGTGGGCAGGATTGTCATACATCCTGAAATAAAAACAGATCAGATTATTATGTAAGTCCTTCAGTTCCCACATTACAGCAAATGTGTGTGTGTACATATTTTTTAACAGTTAATTATGTCCTCCCCTCCCTCAGACAGATAAAGTTTCATTACTTTACACACTCAAATTCGTAGGCTCAAGCAATCTTTCTGCCTTAGCCTCTTGAGTAGTTGGGATGACAGGCAAGTGCCCCCACCCTGGCTGACTATGATTTAATATTGTTTCTGTCATTGGTTTTATTCCAAATTTACTGTATTACTGTCACTATAATTCAATGTTTGAAAAAGAACATAAAAAAATGCCACATTGTTTTAAAAACAGAATGGTATTTCTTTTTATATTCCAACCAAGTCTTGTTTTTATTACTTCCTGTGCTACCTATTTGATATTACCCTTGATAATGAAAATGAGAGGGGAGGACAGAAAAACAGATTAATCATATACTTTGAGTAACCTGGTGAATCTTAGAGTAATTCTAAGGTATGTAATTAATCTTCTGTGTGTGAAAGTTAGTTCAAACAAGCCAAGAAATAACAAGCAGATATGGAATGAAAGCATCCTAGAATTTGTAGCTGAAAGAATGTAAGGTCATCCAACCCAACTATTTGTGACCCTCACATGCAGCTGCTGACAGCTCTGCCTCTGAAGCTCCAGTGACAGAGAAGCTATTATTTCATGCATGGTAGGTGGGTAAGAGTTGGAAAGGTCTCTTTGAGCTGAATTTTACCTATGTACCTACTGGTACTATTTTTATTTTAAAAACTGTAAGAAAGTCTATTCCATACAACAGTTACTCAGTATCTACAGATAACTATCATCTTTATTGACCATAATTCCTTTTGATGCTCTTTAGGGTTGGCTATTACTCTCTTTTGACATTAATTAATTTTTCAATTAAGATTAATTAATTTTTCAGATTGAGTCCCTCCACCTATGCCCATCTGTAGACATTCTTCCCTCAGTCTCTGGGTTTGGATTTGTTTGTGGCACTGGGGTCTGGAACCAAGATGCCTGGATGCGCACATGCACTCCCCACTGAGCTACAACTCCAGCTCTGTCTTTTGTCTGAAAGGAATCTGATAGGATCACCTTAGGTGCTTAGCTTTAGGTACCTTTAATCTTCCGAAGGCTCTTAAAGTTAAATAAATCCATAAGAAAAAAAAAAAAACCCAAATTCTCATTTTGCATCTGAGGTTTAGGAAGAAAAGAAGTTGTGTTTAAAATCCAACTTTGTCTACTTCATATAATGCACTTCCCAAGACTGATCAATACTGTACCAGCAGGTGAACAAAGGGATGGTAAATCTGAGAGAATGGTAACTGTGGCTGCCACCAAACGGGCACTTTCTTCTGACAGGCGTGTTTTCACAGCTATGTGACTTGGAGAGTCTGACATCTTGGTACTCAGGTGTGGCATATGACGAACTAAAATGAACATCAACAGTTCCATAGTTGCAAACACAAGAGACTTTCCAGGAATGAGTCCACCGCTGTCACCGCCTTCTCCTAATATAGGACAAGGCTCTTTCTCCGTATCTTCTTCATCTTAGTCAAAAGATAATATGATGAAATTTCCAGCAGAAAAAATGGTCATAAACTAATACAATAAGTATATTTAAGAAATTATTTCTAAAGGATTTACAAGTAATTGTATAAATGGTGCTATATGTCATTCAATATAATTCTCTGGGCTAACCAATCTCACCTTTAAAGCAATGGATAGTCCATTTTTCACCTGGCTATTCATTATTAGGTATGTTGTTAGGTACATATTTCATAAGAAGAATAACAACTAGGTTGAACCACATGAAATTTTAACTACAGAATTATATGAAGGGGAAAGACATCTTTGAAGGGGAAAATGGTCCAGAATTAGCAATTATTTTTTTTTTAATTTTATTTGAAACAAGGTCTCCAGCCCAGGTAACCCTTGATGATTGCTATGCAGTAGAGGACAACCTTGACCTTTTTATCTTCCTGCTTCTATTTCCCAAATGCTGGGATTACAGGCACACCCAACATGCCTGGTTTATAAAACTTCTTGGTCCTATTATTGTAAATCATATAGCACAAATAAGGTTTGTTTAAAGTTAGCACAACTTCTAGTGCTTACTCTGAGTGTTTCTTTTTTCCTGTAAATAATCCTGAGCAGCTCTTACAATCTGTTGTACAACTCCAGTAACCAACAGCTGGATGGATGATGGGTTCCAGGTCAGTAGCAGACGATGCAAGACGTTTAGCAACTCAACACCAATCAGCTATTATAAATTAATACAAATAAATACATCTAGTTAATTTTGAACTCAAAGGATATTTGTGTATTATTAAAATCTGAGAAAATACATGCAAAAATAATTCTGTAGTTAAAATTTATATATATATATAGGTCTATGCAACAAAAGAGAATACTAAGACTACTACAATAATCTTGAGAGGTCATGTTTTATCCTATAAGATCGTCAAGCTACAAGATAGACAATATTAAATAAGTTTTATATTCAAATATCATTATTCTCCCCCTAGAATGAAATACTTGAGCTAAATGGTATTACCAGAGTTCAGTGTCACTAAAATTCATAATTCCCAACCTAAGCTATACACCTGAGAGCTGTCTTTTAGAGATGGCAGAATTTCTCATGACTTCCTTTCCTCTCACCTCAGTAACTATTACAAACTTTGATTTTAAGCTCCTCAAAATTTTCCACATCTAATATATCAAATGAGAGAGCCCCAAATTTCAAAGAAGAGGAGAGAATTTAGCTGCAATCAAAGCTACCATTCCATCCTCTCTTAAGATAAAGTATCTCTAAACTGAGGATATTGTTCAGTTGGTAAAGTGCTTGCTTAGCATGCATGAGGCTCTGAGTTGGATGGAAGGAAGGAAAGAAGGAGGGAGGAAGGGAGGAGGGGAAGGGAGGGAAGGGGAGGGAGGGAGG